CGGTAGGACCATTTTTTTGTTAAAAAAAAAAACAAATATTTCATGTTTTCCTTGTTTCAACTGGTTACAGATAGACAAAAAAGTTAGTATCTCAGATAAGAAACATGTGGTTCTATTGTGTAATTTTTAGCACTCTGCACTTTGAATCCAGCGATCCGAGTTCAAATCTTGGTAGGACCTTTTCTTTCTGCTAACCATTAAAGAGGTTTATTGGTTTACCGGTTAAAACTGATTTTAGATAGACAAAACACTTATTAACTAAAGTAAGAGTTGTCTGGTTGCGTGGTGTAATGGTTAGCACTCTGTACTCTGAATCCAGTGATCTGAGTTAAAATCTAGGTAGGACCTTTATTTTGGTAAAAATAAAAAAGATTTCATGTTTTACCCTTTCAACTGGTTTTAGATAGACAAAAAACTTAGAAACTGTGCTAAGATTTATCAGGTTCTATGGTGTAATGGTTAGCACTATGGACTCTGAATCTAGTGAACTGAGTTCATATCTCGGTAGGACCTTTTTTTCTGCTAACAATAAAAAAATATTGTGTTTTGCTGGTGAAAACTGGTTGAAGATAGACATAGGACTTATTATCTCAACTATTAAGTGTGTGGTTCTATGGTGTAATGGTTAGCACTCTGGACTTTGAATGCAGCGGTCCGAGTTTAAATCTCGGTAGGACTTTTTTTCTGCTAACCATTAAAGAGGTTTATTGTTTTGCCGGTTAAAACTGATTTTAGATAGAAAAAATACTTATTAACTAAATTACAATCAGCAATCTGAGTTCAAATCTTGGTAGGACCTTTATTTTGGTAAAAAGAAAAAAGAGTTCATGTTTTCCTTTTTTTAACTGTTTGGAGACAAAAAAACTTAGTAACTGTGCCAAGATTTGTCAGGTTCTATGGTGTAATGGTTAGCCCTCTGGACTCTATATCAAGTGATCTGATTTCAAATATCAGTAAGACCTTTGTTTTGGTAAAAATAAAAAAGAGTTCAAATCTCAAAGCTAAAATTTAGCAGGTACTATGGTGTAAGCGTTAGCTCTCTGGATTCTGAATCCATGGATTCGAGTTCAAATTTCGGTAGGACCATTTAAAAAAAAATATATATATATATATTTCATGTTTTCCTTAATTCAACTGGTTTGAGATAGACAAAGATCTTAGTAACTGTGTGAAGATTTATCAGGTTCTATGGTGTAATGGTTAGCACTCTGGACTCTGAATCCAGCGATCCGAGTTCAAATCTCGGTAGGACCTTTTTTTTCTGCTAACCATTAAAGAGGTTTATTGTTTTGCCGGTTAAAACTGATTTTAGATACACAAAATAATTATTGACCTAAGAAAGAGATGTCTGGTTGTATGGTGTAATGGTTAGCACTCTGGACTCTGAATCCAGTGATCCAAGTTCAAATCTCGGAAGGACCTTTTTTTCTGCTAACAATACAAAAAATATTGTGTTTTGCTGGTGAAAACAGTTTGAAGATAGACATAGGACTTATTATCTCAACTATTAAGTGTGTGGTTCTATGGTGTAATGGTTAGCACTCTGGACTTTGAATGCAGCGGTCCGAGTTCAAATCTCGGTAGGACTTTTATTTTGGTAAAAATAAAAAAGATTTCATGTTTTCCTTGTTTTAACTGTTTGTAGATAGACAAAGAACTTAGTAACTGTTCTCAACAAAGCTAAAATTTAGCAGGTACTATGGTGTAAGCGTTAGCTCTCTGGATTCTGAATCCATGGATTCGAGTTCAAATCTCGGTAGGACCATTTAAAAAAAATATATATATATATTTCATGTTTTCCTTAATTCAACTGGTTTGAGATAGACAAAGATCTTAGTAACTGTGTGAAGATTTATCAGGTTCTATGGTGTAAATGTTAGCACTCTGGACTCTGAATCTAGTGAACTGAGTTTATATCTCGGTAGGAACTTTTTTCTGCTAACAATAAAAAAATTTCAGTGTTTTGCTGGCTAAAACTGGTTGAAGATAGACATAGGACGTATTATCTCAAATACTAAATGTCTGGTTATATGGTGTAATGGTTAGCACTCTGGTCTTTGAATCCAGCAATCCAAGTTCAAATCTCGGTAGGACCATTTTTTTTTTGTTAAAAAAAAATAAATATTTCATGTTTTCTTTGTTTCAACTGGTTAGAGATAGACAAAAAACTTAGAATCTCAGATAAGAAACGTGTGGTTCT